AATGAGTATTGACCTGAGCCCTGGGGGGCACGGAGCCCTTGCTCTCATTTGGGATTATGAAACTCACGTGTTTCGTGTTTCACATCTGTGTTTCAAACCTCTCTCCTAGATACAATGGCTCAGCTCAGTCTGTTTTCTCTCTTATGAAAGCTCTGTAATAAATGGTATGCTATTCTGAAGAGCACACGTATGTCAGAGTAGTAGAATGCTTTGCTCCTTGCTTTTCTGTCTGTGGTACTGTGTAGGCAGAGGAGTGTGCTGCTTGAATAAGAACTACTTTCTTCCTTAAATTCGGAAACTGACTGCTGAGATAATCTAGTTTTTTCCAGGGGTGTGCTAAAGTTTGGGATTAAAAAAAAAAAAAGTGCAATAGTCCTTAAGTGCCGAGTGCGCCTTCATTATTGTGAATACAGGTGGTGAAAATGAGCATATGTTATACAAGTCAGTTTTCAGTTTTCTTTTTCTTTTTTTTCTCTTCCCTCTTTCTTAATAAGATAAAAAGGGCCTTACTCATTGTCTTCTGCATGCACTGCAATGTGAGAATGCTGCATTAATACACCGATTACAATTATGACTTCAAGGCAAGAGAAAATTAAAGATATTTATCAAAGTATTTTAGTCTCTTTGGAGAAAACCGTTGTTGTCGCCAAGATACTATGTTACATGGAAAAAGCTCTTGGTGGATTTGAACAAAATATTGCAAGTATTGCATTTCTTTGTTTTCTGCATAGCTTGTCTTCTTGGGAAATAGCTGGGCTTTTATGATCTTTAGATAATGGGGTTTTACCCGTCTTTCTACTATTAGCGTCATGGTGATATATAGAAAGAAATCTAAAGGGGAAAGATATTGTTCAGAGCTTTTTTATTTTGAATACATAATACACTTTACAAATATTGAATCTCTCAATGCTGTACCTAAGGTGCCTAGTGGTATGTAAGCAATAGCTGAGTTTGTTCTGAATGGAGTGCTTTGTGAGCACATAAAGGGTGCTGTGACCGTCTTTAGCGAAATACACAAAGCTAGATAAAATGTCATGTATTTTCAGATACCAGCTGACAGATTGGGATCACGAATGTGAGGAAACAGCAATAGAGACCTTTCTTTGTGCTCCATCAGGAGTGTGTAAGTGGGCTGTATCAGAGGAAGAACAGGTGACTGAGGGACAAGTGTATTACAATGGTGTTAGGGCCATGTTTTATCTGACACAGTATTACAAAACTTTACACTGGATATTATTGCAACGTTTGTTTGCCAAGGCTCTGTGAAGAAGGCAGAGCCCCTGACGTATGCTGCACAGGGTGACTTTCTTGCATGGAAGGAATGGGTGGATTTGGACCTGCTGTAGTTGGGAAGACCAGGAGTGCTGTGTGAGCAAGTGGGTCCAATGGGCTGCAGTTGGTGTCAGGACTTTCTGAAATACGGTGCATTCTCCTGGTCCTGTATATCCTGGGTGCTGCAGCAGAAGTTTGGTATGATATGATATGATATATGATATGATAGACTTGTGTTCACCTCACTAGCATCATTTATTACTTTGTTTTTATTTTTATTATTTATTTATTTATTTTTCCAAAGTACCTTCCAGGCACACACAGGTTTAATTTCTGTTTTCTGTCAGAAAGGACAGTCAAGGTTCTGGTCCTGGAGTCCATGCTAGGCTTTGCAGAAGTGCATAAATGAGTCAAACAGACCTAGCCCAAAGAACATTTTTGTTAAAGTTAGTCATATGAAAGTACAAACCAAGGTTTTTCCTTCTGTGATTTTTTTTTTTCTGCTGAGGTGTGGAGCTGCGCCAAGGACATTCAGGAGATGGTGGCAGCAACCAGCTCTTTGCTGTTTGGCAAACAGGGGAAGAAGAAAGCGGAAGAGTTAAAATATTGAGAATCATGGAAAAACTCAGGTAGTAAATGTCCTAAAGGATGGTCTGCAGACGTGCAAAATGACAGCATATGGGGCCCAGCTTCCCCTAACAGTGTCTTCCCTGAGCCCAAACCCCAGCTCACTCAAGTTATCTGCACTTCACTAAAGGACTGAGACAACCATGTCATTATTGGGGGTTTAACTTGAATTTTAGTAGGTTTCTTCACACTGGCTCTAGCAGAGGTGAGTCAGTCTCAGCTGTTTCTTTGGTGCCTCACTCCGTGAAGCTATACTGCACCATACTACAATGCTACAATATTCAGAGGGTTTCTGTGGGCAGCCAGCACAGGCACAGCTCACTGTGATGACTTGTGATATCTGCTGTGCTAAAGCCAGCATATGTGTTCCTGAAATTCGTTCCTGATTCTGTCTCAGCTAAATAAGCTCTTCTGTATCCAAATTAGTTCGGCAGAGAAGCAGAGCTGTGTCCCTGCATCTGTAGCATATGGGCAATGGGGAGCTGGCTCTACTTAGTAGAAACTGTTACACTGAACCATGTATTCTAAATGAATATGTTGATGTTTTGAAAGTGCCTGCCTAAAAGATGCGTGTCATAGCAAAGAGAAGCTCTAAAGACTTGTTGTTAGCTCCTAAGGTCCACTGGACACGTTGCCTTCGTTGGAGAAATGTCACTTGGAACAGCCTCTGAACTGGGGCCAGGAAACATCTGTATCCTGGAGTATCTCTCGTGTGTGAACTAACATTTAAAATTGTGTTACTGAACTCGGATTAACTGGCCATCTTTGTGCAGCTGTCAAAGCAGTATCAGAAATGGTAAAGTGAGAAATTCTGGAAAGGATGCAGAAGCTGGCATGGAAGTGGGCTTTGGGACTGGTGCCAGCCCCTCCATGTAGTTCAGCTGCATCAGCCTCAGTTCAGCCTGGTCATGGGCTACTCACATGGTATAGAGCTTTACCGTAGCCAGAGCACATACTTTGAGGTTACAACTGTGAGTAAAATGACTGATTTTTGTACCTAGTTCTGTTGGAAAGCGATGGATTGTGTTTTTTAGAGTAACAGTAAAAAAAATGCAGAACGTGGGAGGAGAAAACAACTCTGAAAACACTGGTGTAGTCCAATGCTTGCATTATAATGTAATAAATAAGCTGATTCATATGTTTGTGAGTACTTATACACACACAGATAGCATGCAGATGAACCTAATAAAATTATAGTTCATAATTTTGAACTATAAAAATCACAGGAATGACAATGTCCCTGAAAGAAAGAAAAATAAATGTTTACTCTGTCTGGAAATGGAGACATGTCTTCATTTAGTAGCATTCTTTCCATGCTAAAAATGAATGATGTTTGAGGGTGGTTTTTTGTTGTTTGTTTGTTTATTTGTTTAGGATGAAATTTTAGGCTTTTCTGTCAAAAATGGCACTTCAGAGAACTCAATTAGACTCATTAGATGCAATAGTAAATTCTTTCTTTCGTGGGAAATGTTTTTTGGGGGATTGGGGGAGATTCCTATGGAAGCACAAGTTATCTTTCTTTTTTTTTTTTTCTTATTAGAAATTGTGGCAATGGAGCTTGTACAAATGTCCTAAAAATAGAAAGCTAAGTGAAAATGTGTCAGTATTTTGGAGGTAAATCAAATTTATAAAGAAAGGAAGTATTTTTGAAAATGCTCCGGAGACAGTAAATAATAGTAGAGATAATATCTCAGCAGGAGAACTTCAACCACCTAGTGCTGCAGATAAATACATTTTCTCTATTTTTTTCTTTTCCCCTGAGTTTATTATGCCTTAAAGATTAGAATCATTCCTCCTGCCTAATATCCATGGGCATCTTTAATTATATTCACTTGTTTAAATACTTTGGTTGTTGTTGTTGTACGTTTGTTTTCTTTTTATCCATGTGAAATGAATAAAAATAATAAATTAAACATTCTTAATTTTTATAACATATTGTTTGAATTTAATTGATTTCAGTGCAGTAATATTTAAGATAAATCAGTTTTAATTTCTTTAAAGACGTAGATAATTGGGAGAATGGGAGAAGTCAGCATGAGCTAATGTTAAGACCACGGTGATTTATGACAGGTTAATATTAGATTGTTTTTGTCTTCAAATAGCATTTGTTGTAATAAAATTAGCCAAGGCCAAAAATGTTGTACATAACATTGCAAATAACTCAGGAAGGAAGTAAGGAAGCACTCCTGGAGCATCCCCCTGCACAAATGCTGAAGTTGATGGGACAGTTGCTGAGCCAGGATTCCCCGAGCTCTGATCCCATCTCTGCCACTGACCTGTGCTTCCCATGGGCAGCCCTTTGCACTGCAGTTTTCTATCTAGAAAAACAGGGATCCTGCTCTTAATTCTGATAGTCACCACAGTGCAGCCTCTGATTAAAACTGAACAAGTGCTTAAGGGCTTTTGCTTAGAAAGGGCAGCTCACTGAAGCAGGTGCAATCAAACGTCAAGTTATTTTACTAACTCATTTCTTATGGAGTCAGGGATGCTCAAAGATTTCTCCTGGAGCAGAGAAAAAGTGATGTCTTCTATGCTGTGATGAATATGTTGAGTTTTAGTAACAGTTCTTGGGCTTCAGAGGCTCATTGTCTATTTTAATATTGCACTCACTGCTATTTCTATAACTTCTCAAGTGATAGTAATAAATTGAGTGAGCATGACAGCTAGATATATGGAGCTTGACTTTTCACTACTTTCTTTCATTTTTCAATGTTTTTGTTTTGGGAGAGTTTGGCAAGACATGCAGATTTTCTTTCCTGTAAATTTAAACTTTTGTTTGCTTTGAGTGAGGTTGAATTAGAGGATCCCCTAAGGTCCTTTCCAGCTTGAATTATTCTATTATTTAGTGATTTCAGCCTGAAATGAATATAGATTCTTTGAGGTCATTAATTTAAATATGAGGATCTGACCTTTTGGCAGAGACAGCTTTAGCGCTGCTTATCATGTCATAAGATCACTTTTTAAGCTGAGAATCTATCCAGTGATTTCAATTACAGAATGCATTGTTAGTGACATAACATTGGTGATACAAAATCCACTGCATCTTTTTAAGATTATGCATATAGTCTGTCAATATACTATAAACTCTTAATTGCCTTTAGAGATCCCTGAAGACCCACAAATTGCAGAAGAATATTATAATGATGAGTTTGAGTCCTGTTCAGAAAGCAGTGAAGAAGAGGAGGATGTGGAAGCATCACAGACTGTCTCCAAGACAAATCACCAGGTGTGTGTGACCTTTGGGAAAACAGTACACATTTGATGCTCATTTTCCGAGGGCAAATGAAACTACTTCCAAGATTTTGCCCTAGTGACATTACTGCAATTTGCTTTTGTCAGGAATGTGTGTGTATAGCAGTATCATGAATTAGTTATGTGAGTATGCATACGTATAATTAATCTGATACACTGATGAAAAAGATGCTTGCATTCCTTCAAGATTAACAATAATGCTCCTATGATTGCCTTAGCATGGATTGTTGTCAGTAAACTCCCTTGTGGCCACCACACGCTCTGAGTAGGTTTCTTATATGTAATGTTAGCTATGTGTTATTTAAGTTAAAGCTGAAAGAATACTTCAAGCATAAGATCTAAATTCCAGAATTATTTCCTGGGGATAGATAGGCACCTCTAGATGCCACTTCTTCCAGCCTGTATTAGATGTATTTTCTAGCATGAGCCTAAACAACAGCAAGTCTTGACCAGCATATCTGTAGACTTATCCAAGAATCTTAGAAAGTGTAAATAAAAAGAAAACTTATTATTGAAAGGCTTAAAGAAGCTTTATTGGGTGAGGCTTCCACAAGAAAATCTTAGTGATTGCAGTTTGTAGGATGTTGAAGATGATTGGAAAAGGCACCCAATTTAGATCTGATCAGAATGAACCAAGATGAACCTTGTCTTCAGTGATCAAGTCTCAGTGAAATCAATGAACCAAAATGCCCAAGTCAGTTCTGAAAATCGATCTTCCTAAGGCATTCAGTAACAATTACTTTCTACCCTGTGTCATCAACTTAAGGCATTGTGTTACAGTGCTTCTGAACAGTACTGTCTGCTTTTGTTTAGGATCACAAATGTTATTATGAGTTCATGTGTGAAAAATGCAGGGAAGAGAATGATGGTTTTTACGTTTTGTGGAACAACCAAGTTTGCTAAAACCTCTTCATTAAATTATAAATCACTTGTGATGTTGTTTAAAATTTGTGAGCTAATAGTCTCTTTAAGTTTCTTATAGTTTTAAAGCAGAAGTTAAATGTGTATATGATAAATCAGAGCACTACTTTTACCACAGTGGCAGGGAATCCTGAAATTCTCTCAACCAGTTAAACTTGAAGTTTACTCATAGACAGTCTCATGCAGTCTAGAAATGTCCTCCTGGTTTTCAAACTAAACATATAACATGCTTTAACAGTTAATACAGTAGTAATATAAACAAATAGTTGTAAGTCGTTGGAATATCTAAGGCAGTGATTTGTTGCAATTTGCTGGGTCTGTGTTTACTCACAACACATAGACATGCAAACACTCTGTTGCCAGAAAAATCTACCATAATGTACTCTTGAAAAGAAATTATTGCTCACTTTTATCAGACTTTTTTTTTTAATCTTTTTTTTAGAATGACTTTTAAAATTTTCATTCAGATTTCATTGACGATATAATTAAGTGTCAATCAATACTGCTTTTGAACAGGCAGACTGCTGCTTAGAATTAATGAAGGGCAGAAGATAAAAATAGATTTCTCAATAATGCAGAATAAATTAGGTGTTGGCAGCCAGATTTGAACAACAACGTTCTGTCATTTTGTAGTGATTCAGAATACAGTGGTGACAAGAACTGACACTGTGTGTTGGAAGAGCTGTCCCACTGACATCTCTTGCCAGGATCCAGCCTCTACAGGCTGGGTGGCTTTGCTTTACCAGCAGTCCATGTGCACGTAATCATTACCCCTCTGCAAATTGGCTTACACAGACTGACTGGAAAGCATACCCTCTCCGAGCATTTGCCTTTCAGGACTTCCTCCATCAAAGAAGCAAATAGCCTGTCTTTGTTTTCACTCATATTGACCAGCACCTTAGATAAGACAGGACTGTGTTTGCAGGTATTGCCACAATCACCTTTTCTTTGCGAATCGAGCAGAATTTTCAATTTTCCCTTTCTCTAGTGAAAAATTCTGAAATGAATGTGAAGGCAAAGCAGGCTGGACTTAGCTGTGCACCTACATCTGACCTAACTGAATATAAACTCTGTACAGTTAGGGGAAATAAACATTTTAGGGAGTAATATTATCTTGGAAAAAACCTCTAATGTATGGGTCAGATAGAATATGATAGGAGGTACCTCTTTCCCTCTGGTGATTGTAAAGGGATCTACAGTTATTAGCATGCATGGGACTTCTTCATTCTGGATGTCAACAGTTATGTGAGATGAATCCCACTCAAAGGTAGGTGGTGTCATGCTCAACAATAATAATAAGCTTCAAAACCTACCAGAATAGATTTGATCTTGCTAGTATATAGCAGGGGATTGCTTCAGCAGTCATCTACTTAATACCAAAACTCCTACACCTATTTCTATGATAGGAATCATACACTTTAACTCTTTCTTTAAAAAATACTTCTATAAATTAAGCTTTTGGAGGACTGTGTGAATAAAGAAGTCATTCCACTGCATTGCAGGGTAAAGATTTGTAAGGTATATACCATCCTAATCTGTGCAAACCTCTCAATTTTCCAATGCCAAGATTGAATTACTAGTTACTTTTGTGCCAAGTCAGTGCAGAAAGTCTACCTCTAGCAGTACTCCATGGTGACTCCATTACTTCAAACAAAAAACAAAGACTGATAAGCAGTAGCATGGGGTCACAGATTAATTGAACTACACAATGGGGTGCATAATGTAGAAGGGGACCTGAGCTATGTATTCCAGTTATATTAGGCTCCCATGGTTTTCAAGACAGAAAGAGAAGTAGTGGTCTTGGGAATCAACGCCTCTTCAGTTAAGAAGATACAGTCATGCACTCCATTAGTGTAATTTAAAGCTTTAGGATGGGAGCTGACACAGGTACTTTCCCTTTGTTAATAACTTTTCAATACAGTCCATGTGCTCTCAGCTACATTGCCCACTTGTAGAGTTATCACCCTAACCACATCTAACCTCTCATCTTGTTTGTATTGGTTGTAGAGTTTGAGTTCAGTGTCATTTTTCCTTCCTTCTTTCCTTCCTTGAACAGTAATTTCTAATTGTGTGAGAACTAAGGGGAAAACATGAAAGAGAATAAGAAACTGTTTCTAAATATAAATTAGAAAATACGTTGTATAGAAGAGGCTTCATCTTGAAAAGTTAGTGAACAGTGAAGGTTTCACATTGGCTTTGATTTAGCTGAGATGCTAATGGGTGCTTTTTACTTCAGTTTATCACCTTGCTCTTTATGTTTTATTTTAGTGACAATAATAATAGCAAATTAGCCTTCCTCATTATGACAAAGTCTAGCCATACGGTACATTAGCTCCATATTTTCAATTTCCAGGTCGCTTCTGAGATTGTCAAGCAACATAATCAGCTGACATAAATTATCATAGCTCCAGTGATATTGCATAAATTATCATAGCTCTAGTGAATTATAGTTCCAGTGTCTCATCAGTGGCTGTAGGTGGTCTGTGTTATCACACTGCTCCACTAGATTCCTAATGCCTGCCTTGTCATCCTTGGCATGATCTGTTGCTGTTAGAAAGGGGTTCACTTATTCAGAATTTGAAATGTCCAAGTATTCCTCCGTGCTGGCTCTTATGTGTGGGTGTGCCTCTTTTCTGTGCATCTGTCAAACTCCCTTACCTGTTCTGCAGGGCTTTTAAAACCATAGGCTGCTCAATATTTTAAAAATACAGGATTTGTGTGGATTTTTCAGCAAAGTCAGGATTTTGACTTTCAGTCAAGGAATGCCATGTCACCATGTTGTCAAATGGGAGCTTCTAGAAACTGAGGCTTGTCTCATAGACTTGAATGAAATTTGCTGTCCTTCCTGCAGCACAATCTTTGCTAAATGGTTAGATCTTAAATTTCATCAGTATACACAAATAACATTTCAAGTGAAAGATATAGCAAAACTCTTAATTATTTGTCTGGTAATAGAAAGCTTACAATGGAAAAGTGCTCAAATCTTTTCTTAATTAAAATTTTAATTATTCATTGCTACTAGATATGTAAGTAGATGTGATTAAATGAAACATAAGTATTAATTTACAGAGGCAAATATCATAACCAAGAATTTTTTGGACTGTTACAAAGTACATACTTTCCATTTTCAATCTGCTATTGTTTTAGATATTTCAGGACTAACCAATGATGCTGGTTTTATTTCAAAGACTGCACACCACTCTCAACATATTATTTAAGCATATTATTTAAAAATAATATTTTATAAAACATATTATTTAAGCTCCATGCATAGCTGTCCTACATATTTGTGTTCTGCAAGGAATCTGACTTAAATAATTGTTTGTATATAATATTATTCCCAAGCCTACTGTTTTAGGGGAATAAAACATACAAAGTTCTGAGCAACGTATTCCCTTAACTGTAGTTAGTGTTGATGCTCATTGTTGTAAGTAATGTCATTTTTGCTTGTGGGATCATACCTCTGGTACACAATGATTTGTGTACTAGATTTAAGATTTTGCACATACTAATGCTATTCATTATTTCATTTATCCTCAGGACAGTGATGTTGAGGCAATGGTCAAGTATTTGGAGAGTGTCCTGAATAACAGCTCATTGGGTAAGATGGTATCTCTTCTCTAAATGTGATAGGAGCACTTATTAATAGTCCTTATTCATCACAATCCAATTACTTCCATTTTGCAAAAGAACAACTCAAAAAAAGTGATCTTCTTAAAAATTGCTTCCTTAATCTACTGCACAGAAGTGTAAGTATGCCAAATACACTGTCATACACAATTAATTGCTTTTGTTGAAAATAATAGAATCATAAAACATGATGACCAGAGTTGTAGAATATCCTTTAAAAATTTGCATTACGTTTGCCTGCAGTGGGTTTGTAGAAGTAGAAAAGAGGGCAAAATTTATCTCTACACTTTAATGTTCTATGTTAATGTAAAAGAATAATACTCTGGTATTAGCCAAAACCAAACAGTGTCATTTAAAAAAAATAAATAAATCATAGTATTGAAGACACTCTTGGCTGCTGCTTTTTTTTTTTTTTCAGTACAAAGAACATGAAGATACCTTTGAAAATTATTATATTAAAGAATTAAATTATGCTTTAATTATTAGAAAAACATCGGACTACTCTGTACTGAAACTTAAAGCCTTCCTCCAAGCTGAGCTAGTAATTAGGCTTGTGTGATCTGTTTTAAACAAATAAATCTGATGATAAGAGAGGAGTCTGTGAGGGTCCCTTTTATCTTTGTATGCTCAGTATCACTGAGGAGCTTTAAACATTTACTGTTTTAAGTTCTTCCAATGTCTAGCTACAAAGCTGAACAAACTATCTTTAAAATAAACTTAATGTATCTCCCATCTTATTAATGTGCATCTTAATTAGATGCACATATTAAATCCTATAAAACAGGATTATTTTTTTTTTTTAAGTCAGGATGTAAAATCTAGAAGTATCATATTTATCAACAAGGAATGGCTGTATCATAAAGAAAAGAGGTGTTGTTTTTGTTGTTTGGTTGGTTGGTTTTTGAAGTGAGAACAATTTACTCATTTTTCTTTAAAAAAGTCCATCTGTGATATGAAAAGATATTTCTGTTGTATTGTTCGAAGGAACTCTGCAAAATACATGGAGAACATTTTTTTAAACTTTTTGTTCTTTGTGGGATATCACAACTTTCTATATGAAAGATTTCTATGGTTCATATTTGTGAGAAGGAAGTGAGCATTTCACCAAAGGGAGAACATCTGAAGTTTAAACTTCCTGAACTAATTCATAGACACATTTCTGAAAATATTTAAAAACATACAGGTAAAAAAATATTACAAATATCTTGATCTTTCGGTAGCCAAAAAAAAATAGGTAATTGAATGTGAGATTCTGTACATACTATCTGCTCCTTTCCCTATTATTTTTGTTTCTGGATTTTTTGAATATTTTCCAACATCTTACATGAAATTCATAAGGCTAATTGTCCCCTTGGCCTTAGCTTAGTTTTCACATAACATACATGTATTGTCACATGTCACATAACATATATATTTGTCATGAATTTAGGGAGATGTAATCTCAAAGTCTTGTTATAGTCAAAAAGAAAATGCATCTACATGTAAAGCCAATAACTTTTTATTAGTCTTATTGAAATCTTAACAGTCTAATCAAAGAATTATTGTTAGTTCAGAATTAATAATTACATAAAAGAAAGATAAAGGAAACAAGTGAATGACTGCTACTGTAAGAAAAGCTCTTAATTTTAAATACATGCATTTCCTCCTAACTCCCACTTTGCTTGGTGCTATGCTCACCTTCCTGATGATCCTAACGCTGGTAGCTTCAGTCTGACATGTTGGGGGATGTGATGAGCCCTCAGCACCTGCAGTCCTTCACCAGAAATGGTGATCATGGTTACTTCCTCCACTTGGGATCATTTCTGTGTGTTTGCCAACATGCATTTATACCTCACTTTTCCTTCACTGGCCTGTAAATTCATGTCACATCAAAAATGTTATGTGCATTTTACATAATTTAGATGTTATCTCTGTTAACCCTAAAGCTAATTCTGCCCACTTCATCATCGGCATTTCTTCAGGAACTGGTGAGTTGTTTATAGCCATGGTGTCCCCAGTGCCAGCTCATGCCTCACCTCTTATAGTCCCATACCTAAAGCCTCGTCCCATGTTTCAACTTTTCAAGGTTTCTTCTGATGTATCGGGCATGTCTTTCTCTACATTTCTTCTTTAATTATGTTAGTTAAAAATATGTTATTCTACATGAATAAATGCTCATTATTAATTTAAAAACTGTGTTTGTACAATACAAAAATAAGTGGAAATAAATAAAAATAACCACAAGGTTATTAGAAGAACTGAAGTTACAGTTTAAGCAATTAAATCAGATCTCCCACCAGGCCAAGACAAGGTCAGACAAAGTCTGACATACCTTAGTGCTGAGGTCTTGCAAACCCAGGCCCAAGCCTGTGGCCTGGTACTAGCAGTAGCAATACCACCTTGCTGGGCTACAGACCCACATTATTGTAACAGCTACTCCTGAAAACAGTAGAAATTTCATTGCAGTAAGCTGGATGTAGAAGTTTGGCCTGGACAGAATTTCTCATAGCATTTTTCATTGTTAAAGGAATTATGAAAAAAACTATGTGCCATTTATAGCAGATCTTAGACAACATCTGAGTAGAGAAAAAACTAGATTTTTTTTTTTTTTTATGTCAGCAAGGGCTGTGATAAAGAGAATACAATAAATATGCATTGTTTTTCCACAGGTGAAGTTTCTTCTGTATAAAACCTCAGTACTGAATGGTAAAAGCCTGGGATTTTTTAAAGTAACTGAGTTTTCTCCCCAGGAGTTCCCACTGAATCACTGTGAATACCAGCACTTCAGTGCAGTACAAGGTTCATTTGGGGTTAGCTACACAGCTCTGTGGGGGGTAGATTTGAAATATCACAGTACATGCCGGTAAAGATTGAAAAACTGGGGAGATCCCAGAACAGAGCTTCAAAATGAAAGAAAGTTTGAAAAAACGTCTTTAAAATATACTAATATGCTTAGTTTAAAAGAGGAGAAAGTTAAGAGGCAATTTGGTCACTTTGTATTATTATAAATATTTTAAACTCAGGAAGATACATCTGTTTCTAAGGAGTTTTTTGATCTTGTAGAAAAAGGCATTGGAGGATCTTAATGTAGAAGTGAAAGCTGAAAAAAACAAATCCAAACTAGAAATGTATGATTCAGTGGATTTAATAGTTTCTTAACATATAATGACTTATCAAGAGATGCAAGAGATGTCTATCACCACTTACGGGGTTTTTAGTAGAAATGTAGGTAGGAATTCCTTTGGGACATAATGTATAGAAGTCTCATTGGCTAATCATAATCATCCTTTTTAACTGTATCTGTGAATAAATGTGAGGCACAGTATTTCTTTCCCTACAGAACCTTTCATCTTTTTTCCCTTAGACAGAGTGGAAAGGATGCAATGAGGGCCTTGAAAATGGCACTCTGACCCAAGAGGACAATTTTGCCCTATGTTCTTTTATGTTGTATTAGGCTAAAGACTGGGAGAGTATTCATCTTTTAAGCACGTTTAGAAAGTGCCAATACTTGGTTTTAAAATATCAATGTTATTGTTGTTTTATTTGATTTTGTTTAAAGAATTAAGAATGATAAATTGCATAAAAATGCAAATAGTTACTTGGCCACTTTTTGAAGAAGCATAGTTACATGTTCTGTGTTGATGTATGGGTAGGCAAACTGCTGAAAGCTGGGTACAAAATATATTATTAATCAAGTAAATGCTTCTACGAAAATGCCTGTGATATAGAAGTTAGTGTGGGTTATGAATCATTACTAGAAAAAGTTTTGACGTTTTTCATAGCAACAATGTGAAAAGCTCTTAGTGGTTTTCACCGAGAACTCATTTTTTATGACTAACCACAGCTTTGCAGCATCCTACAATCTGTAGTCCTTTCAGCTACTTCACAGTACCCAGAAGATCATATTTAATGGACAGAAAGATAGATATTAGTTTGTATTTAGAGAGGAAGGTTTGTTTGGCCAACTGCCAATGTGGAGAGTAGACAAAATACGAATTATTTAGCCTGGAATACCGGGGGGGGGGGGGGGGGGGGGGAAAGAAAAAAATAAGAAGGATGTCTTTAATAATGAAATGTCAGATGAGAGGGAGATAAAGTATTGTAGCAATAAATAGACTGAACCCACTAAGCAGAAAGAGTATGCTGAGCTCTTACCACAGTGATATATCCTGTAATAATAGTAATATCAGAATTTAGGTGGGGTCTGTTATTAAATATACTCTGTCTTGAAAGAAGGCAAAAATTACATTTTCCTTAGGCCATTGGTGCTCAGGGCAAAACTTTTTTTATTGTTTTTGAAGTCTGACAATGATATCAAAGCCCAAATCCTCACATCTGGACCCTAATTCTCTACCAACTCAACGAGTGAGCCATCCAGTAAGTCATGAACATCGCTTTGCAGTACTTGAAGCTTCCTCAGGGCCACTCAGTGGATATCTGAATTCTTCAGTGCTGCTAAAGTAATTGAATGCTTAAAGACCACATATTAAAATGTATGGATACACATGTGGTATTAGAGTAAATCATCAGGAAATATATATATATATATATATTTTTTTTTTATGGTGTCTGAAGTTATTGGCTGGTCATAAGAACTGAGCTTGTCATTTTTTATCTTATCTATACCTCAATTGTAATACCAGACAACTATTAGCCATTAAGTGGTCAGAGAAGTTAAGAAATATTTTAAGAAGTCAAACATTTTTTTCCGTAGCTAGACAATGGAGTCAGGAATCCATTTCTTCTGTAGTCTCTCTCCATGCCAGCTTCCTATGTTCACTTGTAAAGCTCTAAATCCAGCAGATGCTCACTGTGAGGGATTCAGTTGGGTCCTTCAGGATGGAAAGTTTACTCTCAGTGTTCAAATTTCTATGGTTGGGATCTATAACCATGTAAGATATAGGAGCTTAACTCCTGGGAAGGTTATGGTTATGCATGCTCGAGAAGCCTTCAGTACTCTATGGGGGTGTCTGCATTGCTTATAGAGGAAAAGTAGCTGCAAACTCCTTCTGGCTGTACATGATCAATGTTAATGAAAATCAAGCTAAAACCCAGTGGAGTCCAAGATAAAAACCCCCTGCCAGGAGGGAAGAGTGTGTTCATGCTGACCAGGCATTGCGTTAACTTGTTTGTGTGACTTTTGGCTTATTCATACCCTATGCAGAGCCCTGCTGTGTCTGTTCAGAGCTTGGAAGTGTAATCCTAATACCAAATAATCTGCAACAAAAAAAAAAAAAAAAAGCTGCTTTGCTTGGTTTAGGAAGTGAAAGCTGAAAGCAGGATCTTTATTTTTCCAAATACAAATAAATGAAAGGAGTATGTTAAAGGGAAGGGAAGAACTAAGTGAAAAAAAAAAAAAAAAAAGGACTGACATGGGAGAAAAATGAGCACAAGCTGGCCAGTAAATAAATTTTGGCTTGAAGTTGGAGGAGGGATTTTAGCCAGCAGGTCACAGTAAGGCTCTGAAATTGGCTTCCAATGGAGGCAGTAGGGGCAATAAATAAATAAATCACTAACTTGAACCTGAATGTTGGTCAGGTTAGGCAGGGGCTTGTGTGATGCAATGGTGACACAAAATTGTAGGATATTTGATCTGACAACCCTGACAGTCCTGTGTGACAGAGCAGATCTAGGATCCTGTAGATGAAAACCATGGTCTTCTATGACTATTAGGTCATTAAATGTTGCAACGACCCACAAGGCAAGTGAAGTGAACAGAAAGTAGGGGGGGGAGAGGAGCATATGTATATTTCTCATATTCCTCATATGTATATATGTATGTTTGTATATATATACAAAGGATTTAAGGACTACCTTCGTCTGAAAGGAAAAGTGATGTCGTAAGTCAATTTACTGTCTGATTGGTAAAATACTGTCATTTTACATTTTAAGCAAGCCAAAGGAGAGACTTGCCTGTTAGGAAGATGGTTCTTTCTCTTACAAATAAGGGCAAGAACAATGGAGAAAAATAAATATTGTCCTAGTCAACTTCATTTTGTTGAATATTTATCAGTGCCAGCACTTCCTTGGGTAACTGTCTCTTCCGTTGTAATGTAATTCTTTGTATGCTACACAGCAGGAAAATTCGCATTACAATTTTGTTGCCTTTGAGCTATAAATCTACACGTCCCTAAGAAAGGAGTTGTTTTTAATAGGCATTTAATAATCTAATTCATCTTTAATTAATGTGGCACCTTGTGAGGAACAGGAATAGTCTTCCTCCTCCCGACTGCCCTTGACTCTGCAGTAGTGCTCAGGGGATGAAGGTGAATAAGGTTGTGTATCTGCATTGATTTGTAGGCTCGGGAACTGTCACCAGAGTGGCTCCAGGGACTCCCCAGGGATTCAGAGCTCTCAACAGCACTATGGCTGAGACCAAGCTGAAACGCATGAGGGAGTAAGTAACATATTTTTGTGTTACCAATATCTAGGGAAAGAGGGGGGATTTGAAAAACAGCAGAACACACTAAATAAAACCATGTGTTGCCCTCCCCCCCAAAAAAAAAACAACAAAACACACGTTCCTGCAACAACATGAAGTGGATGCTAAGCTATTCTTTCCAAACCAGATGCATACTTGCCTCAACAGAGGATGAAGGTTGACTGTCACTTCTGATTATTTTCTTATAATCTGCACAAGTATTGTCATCCTTTCCAGTATGTCTTCACTGCTGTCTAGATCATTCTCAACTTCTCTTTCTTTATTAACTCAACTCATGCCCATAAATCAGTTGCTGATCTCCATGTTCCCATCATGTTTGCTCCTCCATCCACACTTCATTCTTGCATGGAAAGGCTAAGGTTTGTTTTTCATGATGATACGCTGTTTAAAACCAAATGTGATTGCTGCTGCCTTTGATTGTCAAATGAGACAAGGGAAGTTACATGTGTAGCTATCTTTGAAACTCTGTCTGATTGCTTTCATCATCATTAAAGCCCAAACTTTATTAATAAAGATTTCAGTGTCTCGGTAAAACAAAGATCCATGCTTCCTTTCTATAATGTACTGGTTAATTTATCTTGAGCATCTTCCAGTAAATTGTCAGTAATTTCTGGCCTTCCAAGATTTACTGCACCCTAACTTAGATACTTACCTGATAATCATAATGCTATGCATTATGTCTGAACTCAGGTTTTGTTTGCAGTGTTGCAACATTCAACTGATTTCAGATTGTAAGCTGTTTTAAAAAAAGGGTACTTCTCTGTGGTGTGGGTGGGCAGTGTCAGGTACATGGCGTGTGTTGTCAGAATACAAGTGAGTCCAAACAGTTAATGCTGGTGGTTATTTGAGTCAGTCCACTAAAGAAAATTAATGCAACTGTAACAGCATGGATGCCAATCACTGTGTAAAATACATTAGAGTGCAAAATGCACCATGTATTGAAGAGAAATACCAATCAGATTTACTCCAGATAGAAGGTTTTCAGTGTTGTGGTATTTCAAGAAGCAGCTGTTCTTAGTGTTTCACTTCATGGCTTAGTCTTTACTGTGAAACCAGTCAGCAGGCTTCACAGTCTGGCAGCCTGATTCCTTTCCATTCTCTTTTCATGGGAAGTACTTTTAAAATCCAAAAACCCACATCATGTTACACCAGCTAGTTGCAAAGCGAATTTGTTTAGTCAAAATGCCCACCTGTCTTCCAGCCTTCACCTTGTGTTTTCAGAGTTACAGGATAAACCATTTGAACTTCATGGTCATCATCTTTAGGGCTCAGGTATGATTAAATTACTTTTATCAAAGTCTGTTTTCAGTGCTGTTTCTCAGTTTTCAAAGTTTGTTGGTTCTGAGAGGATCAGCATGTAGCAGAAGTTAAATAATGAAAAAATTGGGAGTTCTGTTGTATGATCCTTTGGAAATGACATGCTTCAGCATAATTTATAAAACAGTCATATGCTGATGAAAAGGCTGATTAGCTTCAGTAATTCACATTTAATGCATTAGACCTCACAGTTTTGGAACACTTTCATAGTCATTTAATTCCTGAATGAGAACAGTCAGCTGGGTGTGTGGGCCACAATGCCCACCCAGCTGGCATCTTGAGAACATCTGGCAGACTGTATCTGTGAGCCATACCTGTGAACCATTTTAAAATTAAATTTATTAAGAGAAAAAAATTGGGGGGTGGAGGAAGAGAGGGGTGAGGGGAGAAGGAAGAATGTTTTGGTTTTGCTTTTTTTTTTTTTTAAATAAGACTGCAGATCTCTTCTTGTGAACTATAATAGCTAGTTTAAAGAAGTCTATCAAAATATCTACTCAGGTTATTTTTCTTTCTTCTAGATATAGTATGGCTGTGTGATACCTGAATATCTAGATATCTAAATATCTAAAGGTGAGCTAGCATGCTTGAAAGTTAGAGTGTTAAGGAACAAGTGAGTGAGCACAGGCACGTTACCCAGTACACCCGTACACAAGGAGATCTTTTCAAATTCTCACACATGGCCAAACTGCATGTATAGCACAGTGGAGGACTTTTTAGTGGTAAGAAAGGAGTACATCTGAGTGCAGGATGATGCATGTAGCCTCAGCTGCTCTGTTCATTCCTCAGCAAAATTCACATGATGTGTTGTACTTCATCTGCACAGCAGAGCCACTTAGGCAAGGCTTAAATAATTTAGATTTGTGCTATTCAGTTTCACTCAGGAAACCATAGACTTATTTTGGGGTCTTGAGTTGACATCTTCTAATGAAAGAGAGAATATGTTTTTTCTTTGTTGTTGTTTCATAGGAAATGAGTAGCTGGAGTTCTTGCAAGGAAATGGGGAAGAGCAGTGGAAACAATGTGGAAGTGCAGAAATAGAAATATAAAAGTTTGGGATTGGCACCAACAACAATAGATGGTGATGAGCGAAACTCTTCTTTATGTCATGAATTGCTCAGAAAGTAATCATTATACCTAAATATTACAAATAACATTAACAAAAAAAAAAAAAGCTCTTTCATTAGCTCTGATAAAATGGTAGATTTGTATAAAATGAACATAAGGTTTAACAGCAAATGGGCCTTTAACTATTTTTGGCACGTGAATGATGTGGGCTTGCAAACAGCTGCAGCAGGACATTCTCCTGACAAGGTGTGATGTGCTCATTGCTTGAGTCATCACAGTGTGTTGCACTGAATGTGTTCTTTGACAGTGCAGAGAATTGCTGGATTTCAGAGTGCCAATTTAGGTAGCTTCAAGTGTATTCTTGTGCAGGTCTTCATACATATATTCATGTGAGAAGGTATCAGGAAGTTGTGCTAAAAGCCTTTACAGGAGTGTAGAAGGAAGCCACTGATGTTCTTGAATAAGGTAGGTAGGTGTCCTTCATCTCCTATTTTAAATAAAACAAGTTGCTCAGGGCTTAATCTATAGGCAGCCTGATAGTGTTTATGATACAGTCACCAGCTTCCTTCGCTTAAGTCCCTGAATGTTTCCTCTAACACCTTTTTTCCAATCCCTATTGCACACCCTGTTACAGCAGTTTGAATTGCTGTCCTCTCTGTAAAAGTTATGGTAAAATCACCTACTCTGGTGACAATCATTTCTAGCTTGTTATAATTGGTATCAGTATTCATTATAAAGTTTGTAGCAGCAGAAATTTAACTTTATCTTTCAAGTGTAGTTCATTCTCTCAGCAAAAATTTCTACCTCAGTGCTAACAATTTCAGTATTAGGATCTTCTACAGTGTTGATGAGAAATCTCAGTTTTTTGAACTAGTTCCTGCAAAGGTTATCTGAGCTTTTTCTTATTATGCTCCTTCACAGCTTTGCCTGCTAATGGTGGGAAGTCAGCCAAGTATATAAATCAGAGTTCTGTGACTCATATCCCTCATATTGGGTTTTTAGGCTTAGGAATCTTGTTAGATGCAGGAAACAGGAGGAGTATTTTCTGTCCTGGCCACCATCTCATTTTCATGGTGGTTCCTATTCCTGACAGTATTGCATGCTGCAGTCTAATAAGCTATACTCTCACATGCTATGTAGAGCCATATTGTCTTCACCACAGAGATAAATGAGGAAAAATTAGTGGCAGTTCCAGTGATGCTCCCCCACAGAGAATTTCCAACAATGCAACTCAGAAGAGAGCCACGCTGTTCTTCAGAAACAACTCCTGAAGCCAAGCATTTGTTTCCATCATATAAAATTGTTATACCACCTATTCCTTTTTTCATTTTCTATTTTTTTTTCATTGAGGTTCATAAAGCTTGGTAAAGCCTTCTTTGCAAGATACCAGAAGCTTTGTTAGTACTAATTGCCTGGAAGATTGGCTTTGTCCCTAGGGAAAACCTAGAGAAGTTGTAGCAAATGCTGGCTTGCATTCTGCCAGTGTCTGAAAAGCTTGGAGGACAAAACCAAGTGCTTTCTTCAGTTATGAACTAACAGCACTGATAGCTGTTGTAGCTTATAACAGGCTAAAGAGGTCAAAATTCACATAAAAAGAAACAGACCCAGCACATTTAGATGTGTAACTGAAAATGCTTTTCTGCTTCTTTTCATCTTGCTGTGTCTTACTTCTTTCCAAGTATGTGACCACCTCAGATGGCTCTTCACAGCTCCGTGGAAAGTCTTACAATGCATGCTTGAGATCTGACTGCAGGGTTTCATGATCTAAAATGGAAAAGAGATGGTGAGAAATTAGACAGGTGTGTGCTGAAATTTGTGGAAAAGAAAAAGCCTTATTCAAGTTTTGGTACAGTGATTATATTCACAGTTTCACCTCCCTTTATTAAGTAGCATTTGTTTCCCAAGTGTCCAGTGAGTAGAGGCTTCCCTTTGAAGCCTTCTCATCACTGTAGTAAAAATTCATTTCTTGAGCTTTATAAAATGAGAATTTGTGTTTTACAGAGTAAGTCTGTTGTTTTTTTTTTCATAATTGAATATCTATAGAATAAAATTTATGTCTTGTCCTCTCTGTCCTGAAAATACGAAAAGAAATAAAAATGTAGAAAATGCAGGAAAAAAAATGTTAGTACAGCATACTTTGTGCTCCTTTGTGGAGGTATCCATGAATACATACAATGAGTCATTTTAATAGCAGTGAACTTTAATATGCAATTTAGAATTCAATAAAATGCATGCCAGTAAAAGGAAAAGTCTTTTATGCCCCAATTTTTAAGTAAATTAAAATCCTTTAGCACAGCAGTAAGCACCTCTTAGTCAGTCCCTGAAGTCTTATACACAGCAGCATACCATGATCAGGCAAAAGGCTTCATCATCACCCGCTGAGTGTAAGTAAAGTTGTCTTTCAGAAGTCATAGAGGAAAGGCATTTAGTGATATTTTTATTCTATTCCTGTGAATGCTTATAACACTATTGGCTTAGACTCATGAGCTGTATGCATATATCCTTCTTTTGCTTGTGACATTGGCATCAAATGTATCATTCATCTTAAAAATTCAGAAAGAAAGGTCATCCTG